AGATGCTGTGGACTCACACCAGACATCCTGAGAACATGTATGAGCTGAAGCAGCTCTATAAAGAAGAGCAGCTCTGATCAGCAGCTACTGGAAGAGCTGGTTTTAGGTTTAACCAGTTATTAAATCCACTGGTTCACTGACTGTTTCCACCTGCACTGCGAATGTTTAATGACTATGATCAACAAAGACACCAAGATCATAACTGTTTGTGTGATATTAGTGCCAAACCCTTGTTAGTGTACAGGTGTCAGGAGTTTATGCTCACCTGGTCCCACAAAGGCCGGTGGAGGAGGACCAACAAAACTAGCAGCTCTGGCCTCTAATGTCTGCTGGACCTAAGAGGGAAGAGACCGACAGAGTGTGAGGACGAGATTTAGCCTGAACTGCCAAAGACCTTCAATTAATAAATATCATCTCAGGCATTAAAACAAACAATACAATTGTTTCTATAAGCAATCTGGATAGTACATCACTACCCAGACACTACTAGAAGAGTACAAACCTGTCTGTAGGTGTTGGTGCCTATGATGGGTCTCACTACTGGAACCGTTGGGACAGCCAGGGCTACAGGGACTGCCTCTATAACAGGTGGGCTTCCTGATACTGGTACTGGACCACCAAGAACCTCCTGCTCAAAACTGCAGCGAAAAGAGTGTAAGACAGACTGACATTTATAGCAGGGGTCGACGCATGACTGGTTATATCTTTAGAGTCTATATGTGATTTAAAAAATACATATAACCAATAAAAGATGATGGTGAAAACACAGAACGATTGAATAACGAAAGTGTTGATTCTCTGAGAGACTGAACAGTGAATGGAAGTGAGGGACTCCATGTTGCTTATAGTGAATCCACTCAGTCAAGTAGAGCTGTGCAGTAACCCACTTACAACAGAGTCCAGCTGCAGGAAAAACTACAGAGGTTGGCAAGTAATTTTCTGCTGATTGACAAACTGATTCATCAAATTATCATTTCAACACTAATTCTGCAACACCAAAATGGCCTAATGCTTAATAGTCTAACTATTTGTTCTCTAGATTGCATGACTACTGAAAATAAAACATGTAATGTGTTTGGGTCTTGTTTATCACTTAATAATGTTTATATTTCTCAGTAAAACCTTTCAAACTTACTACAAGTTTTAATAAAACAAAACGTAATATTTCTAGCCTAGGTTTGACACACAACAAGAAAAGGTTTTAATTCAGTCATTCTGAAAGCTGCAATGTGACCCACACTATTTTCCTTCATCATCAGTAAGTAGACAGATGTGGATTCTAATTCAGCCCTAGTGGCTAATATCCCAAAATGAATGGTGTCCTACTGGCCCTGCTGATACTAGACACTATAAAGAGATATTCAGTAAATCTGTCAGGCAGATAAAACCTGACATGGGAGCATCAGTGGTGACACACAGACAGAAGTTTCTTCATGCTTTCCCTGAACCAACAATGCAGTCATCACAGGTAAGTCATTTACATTCTCTGAGTTGCCTGTTTATGGTTATTGATGACATGGGTAAATATTTTATACTGCTGTTTCTGTGACTCTGTAGCAGTGTGTTCGTATGCATGTGGTGATTTGGCAGCTGAGCCGTGGAGCTCCTCCGTTGTGTTGGGTGGACTTTGGGTGAACAGACCCTAGACAACAGTTGTACTCACAGAGCCATCTCCGCCTCCATCTCTTTCAGACGCTCCTCTCCTGACTTTAGCGCCATGCTGTGAGACAGAAACACTGATCAGAGACCAGCCAAACAAGGGATCTATCTAGTTAAGTGACCAAACAATGTGACAAGTGAATTCGTAGACACACGAAATACAAAAGAGCGTCATTGTACAAGGCTCCA